TGAAAATTCCGAACAAAAGCATTCTTTGTTTCGCCAAAAACGGAAATTGTTAGCTAGCACAGGTAAGACTTGTAATCGTTTTATGTGCCAATCGCTTTCATTAGGAAGTGATTGAGAACCACACCTACATAAAAATAAATAACTAGGGAAACGTTTCCATCACATTTCCATGAAGTACATCGTTTTTTCTTCTCGGCTTTTAACAATTTCGAATGGTAATTGAAATTTGTTAATCGAAATGTGTGTATATTCATTTATTTATAGCGAAATGGTATAAGGCATATCACTTCAAATCCAAGAACAATTGAATTTTGCTTTGGGACTTTTATACTCTTTTCTTGCATTGCATCTTTAAGTCAGCATACTATGGTATTAAAAATCGTAACGCCGAATTCAGTTCCTAAATTTTTCATGAATTACTTTAGTTAAATTTGTTTTCAAGTTTATGATGATTTAATGTTCGGATAATGTATTTGTCTAAATCCATTTGAATCTATTTGTCTAAATCCATCTCCAGCCATTTGAATATTATTTGTACCAGTACCGAACAGTGACTGATTGAAAACATACTGATTGTGGCTTTAAGTCGAATAAAACTAATTACAATAGTTGAATAAATATTATCAAATAATAAATTTAGTTTTTCATAATTTTTATTCTTATTTATTGCAATACTGAATACAACTTTTCGGCAGCTTTGCGTGTAAAGTTCAGCTAACGAAGTATTTCGATATTTTAATTTTAACTCTACAGGAATACTTGTAAAAAATTATCCATTATTGCAGTTCTATCCTTTACGGTTTGAGAATTTGAATCACGAAAAATTCACTTAGAGGGATTGGTGTATTTCGACCACATATTTTGTCTCTACATCAGACGCCAGCTAGAATTTTATACCAAATTTATAAGGTGTATTTGTCATATACTCGATAAAGTTGTTCATCCACAGTATTATGAGCTACCGGTTTGAAGCAATTTTAGCTATTTCCTATGATTTTGACCCAAAACTGCTGAAACCAAAGTGAATTTGCAAACGTGGAATTCTTTGATTTCTCTTGTCGAAGCGAATGCATCGCAAAATTTCTGTAAAATCATTTTTGTCTCAATGGTAACACAAAAATTAGGTCTTAAAAAATTTTTCTAGTAAAATATGGAATGCAAAAATACTTCGAGATGCGCTTTTAATGTGGCAGTTGTACAGAAAGCGAAAGTTACAGTTCAGGAGATTTGATAAATTGACCTTTGTATTTGACCAAAAATTAATCCTGTTTTCTTAATGTTGTAAATTAGCATTTACTGCAATATAGACTAAAAATAAATTCCAACACAAACTTTTTAGGTAATCGTACAGGTTTTTTCGACTCCAATTTCGAATTTGAAATTGGTAAACTTCTTTTATATTAAATTCCTTATTACTACCACATAAAAATACATGCACTTGGGCCACAAAGGACTACATACGAATTTTGCAGTGTGTTCATAAAGCTATGTTTCAATATTTTTTCGTAGACCTTCTACAATCTTCCTGCAATGGTGAATCTCAAACTGTGGAAATTGCAAATTTCATCAGTAAATTTCCGGAGCAGTTATACATTAATTTATTGCCTTTGATTTTCTACCACAATACCGTTCCATTGTGAATTTACATTACAGTAGCATAGATAACCATATAATTTGTTTACTAATAACAATATGTATTAATTGTGAACAACTTATGCAAATGGTAACATACCCAACTTGCAAATAAAAGCTACTCGGATCGAAACCCTGTGTATTGTCCATAAAATAGACAATTTAAAATAGTTGATTCATTTGAAAATAAAACTTGTGATACTTAAGGAAAAGATATTAAAATGTTAATAGTAATATTTAAAAATTACGACCTTGTAAAACTGCGGAATAAAATATATTGTATTAAGGGGGTTGTTCTTTTTTTATTTTTCTTTGTTTCGGTTTTGAGATTTTTTGATATTATGAAAGCTAAAAACCTTAGAATTATTTTTAAAAAAAAAATCATCTCAATATCTATTTTTTTGACGAAGTTAGAGATATATCTATCTCTATACGTATGATCCTCTGAAAGCGTTTTTTTATCGTTCCGCGAGCTATTGTATGCCAACTGCCTCTTTTTCATTATAATACCTCATGCACATGACCTTTTTAATGTGTCAGCATCTTTGAACACCATCGTGTATTTCGTACATTAAATTAAATGGTGTATTTAGTACATTATATTAAAAACTTTAAATACGTTTTTCTCAAATTGACTTTTTTCAATGCGGTGCCACAAATTAAAAAAAAACAAGTCGGATTGACTTGCATTTTTTTTTAATTTGTTCACTATTGCAATACCTAGTCCCCCTACCTCAAACAACTTGATAACATTACGCAAAAAAATTTTGCGAACCTTCTCGTCCCAAAAAAAGGCCTTCTTTGACACTTTTTTTTTAAATAGCTGCCATTTTTTTCCTTCTTGCTTTTTTTCTTTCATTTTGGTAGGGGGACTGGATTGAAACTTCTTCTTCAACGTAGTTTCGTTTTTTTTTTTGTTTCAGGCGATGCGCAACGGATTTATCTGTGGCACCGCAAACGAGATCGATTTTGCAATGCCCACTTTGGCGCCCCCTGGTTAAATAATGACGGCGAAAAAAAAATAATAAAAAATTTCTTAATATTCTATGATTTTGTAATTTTTGTTTAAAAAAAACCGCATGTCTTTATGATAATACATTCCGAGAAAAACAAAAACAAATACCTTGCATGTTTTGTAACAAAAAAAAGAACAACCCCCTTAAGTTAGTTTAAAAGTAAAGTGTTGAGTGGCTAAATACAATAGCCAAGAAAAACGGATTATAAATAATTCAAGTTACTATTTTTGTATTCAATCATTGGTAATTCAGTGAGAAATGATTTACCAACAATAATCAAAACATGTCTATATCCGCCGTATAAATAATAAACATCACAATGTTACGAATGCTAAATTTACTCTTCCGCCCTTATCCTTCGTGTTATCATTACACCAATTAATTATCATCTATAGCTCATAAACTTTCGAATGAGCAAAAGTCGATCGCAATTATATTTTTATGAAACATTATTTTAATGTCTCTTTGTAAGTGAAATATAAATAAATATCCATCGTATGGTTCAAAGTTCAATATCGGTCTAATGCGGTTACACATATAATCTGTAAAAAAAGCTGTTTATGTCTGACTACATATCTCGCAAACGATGTATATTATGAAATCAAATTAAACGTTATTAGATTAGCTTTTCGCAATATTGAATCTTCAAGAATAACAAGCAAATGATGGTGGAACAATTGTCTTCGAAAAGAGGAAATGAATTATAACACAACTTTATGGACAAAACCTATCACGTACAACTTCAATATTCATTTATGACATAATACTTAGTATTATTTATTAATATTTATTTGCGGTATGTTATTGCAATGATATTTTCACAGTATGTTATTGTTTTACGTTTTTAAATTATGAGCGAAAAAAGTTAACTAGTTTTCCGCAACTTCTTTTATTTGGTGAAGTTGAATTTGAATAAACAAAATCTTAATATTTTTAACATTTCAATTATTCCCACATTTATCTAAGTATTTTCTGTATTTTATCAAAATTAAATTCGAGGTGTAAACCGGAAAGAGTATTAGGATTAGGAATATGATAATCCTCTTAAAAGGTGTGAAACAAAATATGATTAAATTCAAGTAGACTAATGCTAAAAACCATCAAATACGTTGGTTTATGATAATTATTCATAATTTATATGCAGACCAGCAATTTGTCAGGTCAAATTGTCAAATCTTCTAAACTAACTTTTGCTTTCTGACCAACTGCCACATTAATAGCTCTTCTTGAAGTTATTTAAATACCATTAAATTCTTGATTCTTGATTAAATTCAAAATCTTAATTCTTGGATACGTGCTCCATCACAAAATGTACTAATATGAGCGCAAATTATAAATAAAAGTATTATAGGATGTATTGGCCAACGAGATTACTGCCTTCATAAGTTATAGCAGTGATTGTAAATTTCTTTAGATACATTTTTTAAAATCATAATGCTGTAATATTATCAATCGCAAGTTCGATTAGCCGGAATAAATTGCAACCGGTACTAAATGATAAGTGATTTAACCAAGTTTTTTTTATTTATAGTCTAGTTAATATAGTAAGTTCACCTCGGAATTCGAGATATCCAGCTGTAAGTCTGTAAATACTTGTATATTGACACCCTAAAGTTGTCTCAATACCTACATATGGAATTGACATCCTACCATATGTAGGTTTTGAGACAACTTTAGGGTGCCAATATACAAGTATATACAGACTTACATGTGGTATTGACACCCTACCATATGTAGGTTTTGAGACAACTTTAGGGTGCCAATATACAAGTATTTACAGACTTACAGCTGGGTATCGCAAATTCCGAGCTTCTTACCTAATTTAAGCATAAATGACTAGACTAATACTCTGGTTTACCAGTATTCGCATATTTTATATTTATGTATTCTAAATTACTTGCGGTTTAATCTGTAAGTTATAAGCTCACAATATTACATTTCTCCCGGAAATCAAGTATTGCGATTAATTATAACTGTGAATAACAGCAATGTACGTAGTTTTTATTTTTTTAATGAGATCAAGGTTTATCTGAATTGGTTTCTGTTAGTAATTTGAATTGCTATCTTCATTTATAAATACATATTAATATTGATGATTTAACCGAGTGTATTTATAACTGTCTTTCTAATCAATTTGTTGCGTTTTTATTAATGTAGTTTACACTTGCTAATTAAACAATAAACCATCGCCAATATACTAATTTTAATAAATTGATGTTTTTTTTTTTTGGTCAACATATAGTTCAGTGTAATTTATTCCAAGTGCCAATTAAGATTAAATAAAATTACTTTTAATAATTTGTGCTAAATTTTACTTTTAGGCAATATTCATTTAATATTTTAAATTTTCAGTGCGACGAAGTGCTAATTCGAAACGGGATGGCCTTCTTCCTATTCAGATGGAGTCGGTCTCGCGTATTGCCAGTATTCCTATAGTTGAATGTAGCATGGGTTTAGCAGAAAACTACTACGACAAAATTAAAGTAGGTGCAATGATTTGAATTTACCATACAAATATATATTTATTGACTTTTCATTACTATTTACAGCGCAGTAATTCGCTAATGCGATGGACTTTGACTCGTGCTGAAGAACGCATAGCTTCCTTATCCCGTTATGCGTTGCCTGGTGTAGTCATGCTGCAGGGTTCAATCGACCGCGTTGATAAATTTTTATGTCGCAGCCTGGACATCGTCGAACAACGTGTTCCTTCTGTTTATTTACCTCCACAACTGGTTAGATGATTGCCTAATGATATATATTGTTACAAGATGTATTCATGCTAATTGTATCTCCAATTTTAGATGTATTGGAACACCAAAGAATACATGTCTGATCATCTTGTGAAGCCTGTTCTAAGACGTGCGGATTCTGTTAAACATTTAGGAAACGCTGTTCTAGATAGTCGTGTTAGCAATTTTGCTGCTGACAGGTAAATTTCTGCCAAAACCATATCCACTGATTTTTCTTTACTTCCTTCCTCTGACCTTTTATCTAAATTTTACAGATTAGAAGGCGCTCTGGATGTCGCTGATAAATATGTCGACAAATACTTACCGGATTCTACGGAAGCACCTGAAACCGGTAAATTATTAATCAATCACACAGGTCAATGCATTATGAAAATAAATATGAATTGATTTTCAGAGTCTAATGTTCACTTATCAGATGGTGGCAGCAAAGCCGTACAAACTATGCATCGAGTGGACAGATTCTCAAGAAAGTTGCAAAGACGTCTGACGAGACGCACTATGGCAGAGGCTAAGGCTATCAAGGAACAGATACATGTTATCATCTATATTGCGGAATTGGTAAATAAGCAATAATATTTAATAAGCAATATTATAATTTTTATGTATGGTTTTTTGTAAGCAATTATTTAATTATCTGTACACTTTTGTAAGCTTTTCATGCAATTTTAATAAACCGTAAAATTCAATCTGACATGCACTTGTTTTTTCCATCGGATATGATGAGTAAATTCTATACAATAACGAAAATAAAGCATTCTGGATCGAGAAAACACGTCGACCAACCATACTATATCAAAAACTCTTAGCAATATGGCTAAATAAATATTGGCTCATCTATTCTTAAAGGATTGTTTAACGATTTGGTCTTCATTATAATGTCGAACTTGGATTCATATATTATTTCATCATTACTTATTACAGGTCAGTGTGCAATATAGGGTTTATTTAATTTTTATTTTATTATATATTTCTAGATTGCTACCGATCCCCGATTGGCTATGCGCAAAGCACGTGAATTATGGCACAGTCTTAGCCTGGACGAGCCCGAAAATCAGGCCCGCCCAGATACTCTTGAGCAATTGCTGGTCATGCTAGCCCGCGAGTCGGCCCGTCGCTTAGTACATCTTGTTAATTATGCTGGTGAAGGCGTATCAAACTTACCCAGGTATCAATTTTTTCAACAAATCATGATCTGGAATTGCTTTGTTCCTTATTTTTTTATCTATATTAAGACGAATTTGTAAAATTTTACCAGTTTAATTATTTATGATGTATAATTCATCAAACCTTTAGCTGCCACATTGCTTTTCGCAGAAGTGACACTGCTGTATTGACCATCAGCTAGGCGTCCAAGTATTTGTTACAGTTGACAATTTTGTTGCAGAGCAATTAACGTTAATACATAACATACATAATAATTATCAATAAAAATAAATTTCAAAATTTAAAAAGTTAATTTCTGAAGAATTAACTTCAACTAAAATTATAATACAAAGAACTCACAATAATTTTACTCGCCATCAATGATAAATCTTCAAGCAAGTCTCGATAAGCGATACATAAGTTAATAAATTAAATTTTAATACAATTTCATAAGTTTTTCTTCAAGTAAATTAGTTTGAATATATTCATTCATTGATATTATATGTCCATTCTATTTACAGGTCAACTGCTGCTCACATACAAGTAGGTCTGCACCGGTGTATGGCTTTTGGCGATGCTATATTAAAGGTAAAACTTCAGTGATTTCTTAGCTTTCTTTTAATTGAAACTTGAGATTTTTCAAAACCCTTGAACAATCTATTTTTTTCGACTATAGACGACGATAAACTTCAACGAAGTACGGCATATTTTCAGTAGTTTATGGACTATATTAAATTAAAATATTGAGTAATATTTGAATTTACTCCAATAACAAGTAAAAATATTTTAGCGTATTCATTTGGAGGGTGCGAAACAACAAATTCTGAGGGAGTCCAGAAGGACTGCCGCTCAAATTCAAGCGCTTCTTGATGAGTTGCAGCATTATACTAAGAATATTTTGGTTAGTTCTCAAACTTATAACGATTTTTATGATCGTCATTTTTTGAATAAAATAATCGTTTTATACATTTGGGTGGATTGCTTAACATAATCGGTACTTGGATATTATTAGATCAAAAAGCTTTATAGTGATTTCGGAATATATATAATATTCATTACTAATAATTCATAATGTAGCTTACTATTTTTATATAATCCTTCATAATTTATGCAAGTTATCACAATAATGAGGTCTTAAGACATCATGCATGTCGCATATCACAAGTGATGAACGTTTTTCGTTAAGCGAACTATATTTCTAATTACAGATGTACATTTTGCCGATCATTTAAATCTACATGGAATTAAAACTTAAATTAGTCAAATAGGTATGTGTCAAATTGATCCACAAAAATAGTTATGCTAAATTCTCGCTTTCGCGTTTGGCTTAGTTTTTTAATTTGCTTAACGTCTTGGCCCATCTTGTTCCGTGTGTAAAATTTATGTGCTGCTCTTAAATGCTTACACTGAGTAATGGTAAATATGCTTATATTTTAAATGCTTAGACAAAATATCATTTATGGATTACATGGGGACACTAGACATCAAACCATTACATCTGAATCATGTTTTATTTTATTCTTTATTCCAATGAGATTTAAGATATCATCTAGCTTTTTCAATATTTCTGCATCATCTTAATAATCATAGCATTGCTACTAAACCTAAAATGATTCTATATTTAAAATTCAATTAATGCTATATTTTGAATTTTCAGATTCATAAATATTTGCATAAATTTCAGGAAAGATTGGCCATGTTCCTTGCCGGACGTGAACAAGAAATTAAAAAAGCAGCTAAACGAACGCGTCATATTAATAATCACACTGAAAATAATATGAACGGAGTGCAACAGTCCTATGTTTTAACTATCTAGCTTTTACTATTACTTTAAACTTTGTCGTTAAGTTTGAAATATTTAAATTTTTTGGATTGTTAATATTAGAATTAGGGTAGTACATTTGTCCTAGTTTAACATTGAATAATTTTATACTATGTTTTAAACAATCATAATTATATTTTTTAAATCTATTTTTAATGTTCTTCTACATCATGTGAAATATTCACTTAAACTTAAAAAATGAATCATAGATGTGTAGTTATTTTTATTTAAGCAAAAATAGCAGTTTACATACAAAAAATGTGCTAATAACCATATTTTTATAATTATTATAAAATATATACTTTGTACAATATAATGTAAGGTATCTCATTGTACTTTAAATATTTCAGTGAATCCAATCCATACAATCACAACCATACTCTGCCATGAGGCATTAAACATAATTAAGTACATAATAAATTAAATGTTTTAACTTATTTCCATATGTAAACCTAATCAGAATACCATCACTTTTTATATCACAGTGCTTAAAACATATTTAAGGCACTGTTGTAAGTAGTATAAAAATGAGTCTTTGTACAAATGTTGCCTAAAATATTTTAGCCAATCTTAAGAATTCTAAAACAGTTCCACATAGTTAACAATTAAAATTTTCAATACAGCAAACAACTTAATGATTAAAATTTTTAATACAGCCCAAGTGTTTGATTTTCTTCACGCTTCATTCATTTCTATCTTAATTGATCTATTGTTACCTAAAGAAAATAACAAGTCACATTAAATTCATTACAATAAATACAATTATATTACAGTTAAACCTTTGACTTACCAGAGTAATTAGATCGAAGCATATAAGGAATGACATTCTCCACTTCCACAGGCCCAATAAGACCAGTGAAAAACAGTTCCTCTAAAACTCTTGGATCAAAGTCTCTCAAAGGAGGTAATCTAAAAACGTATTGCAATAAGTTATGCCACAATTCATGTGCTACATGATTAAATTATTTATTCTTACTTTAGTAAAAGTCTTGCAAAACGATCTTCGTCTTCAGAAAAATTGCATACCACATACTTTCTTAAAGATTGAAAACATTTTTCTTGCAGATAACTCACATGATTTTGTGGAGGCAAGTTTGTAATGTCTAAAATAAGTCAATTTGCTTGTATTTAAATATTTGTTAAAAAATAACAAAATTTTCATTTTATTATATTTATTTACCAGTTTTAAATAATGCCAAGGTTCTCAAGTAAGCATATTCATATTTGTCTACATTCAAAATACACATAGAATTGACAAAATCTTGCATTTTGCAAATGTGGTCAGACAATTGCTTTGCTCTTGATCCAGATATTGTTTCTTGAATTATTGATGTTTGGAGATTATTAATGAGAGCCTTCATGATTGTTGGAAGAGACAGTGTTTGGGAACATTGTGCCAACCCAAGCACAAACAACTCAGCCCAGGAACTTCTTAAGAGAGCAATTTGCGTGTCTAGACTACAAGGTTAGATAAATATTAAATTACGTAGTTTACATTGAAAAGAGTTATTTAAGCTCAATTTACCATAATATTTGTTTAAATGCTAAAATGCTTTTAGCCCAGTTGATTGATTGGAATAATAATCTGGAACCGCTTTCACAAATAAAGTGAACATTCAGACAAGCAGGAACTGGACTTAAACTCTGTAAGTTGAATGAAACATTTCCCTCTTGGATCAAAGGATCATCAACTTCTATATTATTATCAAAATCTCGTTCACTGAAAGATTGCACTTTAGCCATTGTGTTCAGAGCTTTCGAAATTAAATTTTTATTTATAGCAATAGATAACGCTTCTGTGATATCAACTATAGGCTGATTGATAGATTCATCTTGTGATGTTTCATCATCCATTTGTTCAGTATTCATGTAATACACATCAGCTGGATTTATTTTTCCTGAACAAAATAAGGATATAGCCACTGATATTAAGTTTATTTATGTATTTCTCTTACAAACCTGATTTCTTATTCAGTGCCGAAATATTAAGATCAGACAAATTAAATCCAGGATACACAGGCATAGTCGATTCAGTGGCCAAATCTTTGCGAATGAAGATTTTATTAACAGCAGCATTTGAAGAATATGAATTAGTGTTATGAGCTGGTTCTTTCTTTTCTATTATTGGTTTACGTTCATGTTGAACAGCTGAAATATTTCACAATCAATAATTACATTTACTATGTTACTTTAATTTATATACCCACAATCACTTCTCATTCCGCAAGCTAAACATTTCTGTAAGCGACAATATTGACAACGATTTCGATGGTGTTTTGTGACTTCACAATTCATAGTTCCTCTGCATTGATATCCAAGTTGTTTCCTGATAGATCTTTTGAAGAAGCCTTTACATCCTTCACAGCTGATGGCTCCATAATGACGTCCAGATGCACGGTCTCCACAAACAAGACACAATTCTACAGTCAGGCATAAACCAGCTCCTACTAGTGATTTATCATCGACAGAGTCTACAATTGACTGTTCCATTGCGGGAGATCTGTAAGAAATAAATGGTTTGGGGTAAACACATGTTTAAAGTAAATATCAAAGGGTAACAATAATTAACTCTAAACACAGTTTTTAACTTTGATGATTATTTTATGATATATTATCTCTATCAAAATGCAAATTCATTTGAATTGAACACAAAGACAAAGTTATTCTATGGGTAACAATTTAAATTAGTAGGATTTATATATATATTTACTTTTTGACCATATTTACAATTGTATATAATTATTGCAGATGTATTTTATAGCAAATTACAGCTACTAAAGTTAAAGTTACAGTTTTATCTTTTTAAGTATGATTCATATTCATATATCACAAAATTCAAGAGATTTATCTGTGTTTAACATATGCATGTATACAAAAAAAAAACACTTCGTAATCAATATATTATAAAATGCTAATCACAATAACTGCAACCGTTATTACAGTTATTAAAGCATTTAAAATAAATAATTTTATGTAAAAATATTATTCTAAAAGCGTTTGTGGCACTTAAGTCTTATTAATATATCACTCTCATTATGACAGTTAACCTGTAAGATATTGTTTTGATGCTCTTCCGGACAGCTCAGTTCAATAAAAACATATTAAAAAATCACAATGGCATTTATTTGCAGTAAAGAAGATGTAGGTACATAACTTAAGCTAAAAATAACATGGGTAATAGTAAATCAAAACAAATGGATCAAAAATAAAACAAACACTAAACCAACATCACAGGTTGAACTTTAATGAACCCATGAACTAACAACTTAGGGCAATGTTGAAGTGTTACTGCATGAAATTTTTGTACTCTTGAAGAAGATTCTTGAGTCAACAAATACATTTATTTATAATTTTGGATTATAGATATGATTAATTGAAGAATAGATAAGAAAGATAAAACAATAACATAATTATCTACTTTAATTTTTCAAATTCCAATTAAGATTCATCATGATGGAATTTTGAAATTCTTTAAAATTTAAATTATGGAACAAATATAAACAAAATAGCTTAGTATATATCACAAGCAATTTTAAAAATATTGTTCTTAGAGTTTCCTTTGAATTTAAATAATTATCAGCAATCATATCTAAAATAGTGTGACCTCCTGTCAAATATTTACTCAAAACGACAGGTTACATTATGCACCTGCAAATGGGCGAAAGGGTTTTGGTCAAAGATAAACACAAACAAGTATAATGGTTTTGGGGGTTTTTGTTATCAAAAATATTGTATAAAACAAAAATATAATTTAAACAAGTAGTGTATGGCATCGTGCCTTAAGGCAAATTGCTGGAACTTCCCGTACCGTAACGAGGTACGAGGAATATTAAATGTTTTTAACTGGATTTATTACAAATATAATTACTGTAACATTGTCTAATATTTTTAAGAATTATATAAACTGAATTGCAATTATTTGTTTAAAATATATTATAATAAAATTAAAATTAAAATCTGAATTATTTTCGAAATACAAAAAAAAAAATTTTTTGAAAAAAAAATTTGAAACAAATATTTTTTTCCAAAAACAATTATTTTGTCAAAACAAGCAAAAGGTTTTTTGAATCATTAAAATCGGATGCTTATTTCTCTCAAAAACTGCTATTTTTTGCTCATTTAACTCTGTATCTTCGAAATGGCTGAACCTGCCTTTACCAAAAACTAATCACCTCTTCTCCCAATCATTACAAATCGAATGTTTTTTATATCATTCAAATCGAATACTCCGTTCTCTCAAAAACTCGATTTGTATTTTCTGCACTCTTTTCTCCGTATCTCCGTAACGACTGGACCTGACTTTGCCAAAAACTAATCAGCATATCTCGCTATCAATAGGAATCGAATATTTTTTGAACCATTCAAATCGGTTGATCCGTGCGCCCGAAAACGTGGACGAAAAAATGCAGACATACAAAAACACACACACACACACATCCATTTTTTCTGAGGTATGCCAAAATGTTCAGAAACCTTCAAAACGTGAAGATATGCAAAAAAAATTATTTTTGATTTTTGGCCCATTACTATAACTACCCTACGGGAAGTTAAAAATGCTACTTATTTAATTAAAAACGATAATTCAATTGAAATGTAATAATAATATGATAACTATATTAAAATGATGCATAAAGTTACACAGTTTTTTAACTTCCCGTAGGGTATAATAATCGCAAAAAATCGAAAATGAGAATCTTTACGTTTCAAAGGTTTCTGAACACTTTGGCATACCTTAGAAAAAAATGTGTATGTGTGTATGTATTTTATGTATGTATGTTTTTTTATATGCATGTATCATGTGCGGATACAATTTTTGCCGACGTTTTCGGAAACACGGATCAACCGATTTAAAAATTCAAAAACATTCGATTCCTATTAATGGAAGACGTGCTGATTAGTTTTTGGCAATGGCAGGTCCAGCCGTTTCGAAGATACGGGGAAAAAAGTGCCAAAACTGGTAATTTAGTTTTTGAGATAACGGAGCGACCGATTTGAATGATTCATAAAACATTTTATTTGTATTGACGAAATGAAGAATTGATAAAGGTGGGCCTAGCGGTTTCGGAGATT